TTGACAAATATTATTATTATTATTATTATTATTATTATTATTATTATTATTATTATTATTTTATATATATATATATATATATATATATATTATTTTATAATATTATTTTATTGAAAAATGTGTGATTGAAGTTGGATCAAATCATTATTGGAAAATGTATATTCATATAAAAAAATGGAGCTTAAACAAGGTGTGATTGAAGTTGGATCAAATCATTATTGGAAAATGTATATTCATATAAAAAATGGAGCTTAAACAAGGGCTTATATTAAAACTTAAACTTTTTGAAAGTTTTTTCATAGCACATTGAACTCCAAATAATTTAATACAATGATCCATAACAGCTGTCATCAAAAAACTTAACTTTTTCTTCCAACAATAACCAATTGAGTTGCGCAGTGCCCGCATGGATGACCTCGAGGTTGACACAACACACACACATGAAGGACTCACGTGCGGACATATGAAGGCGCAGTCAACCGCGAGGATTACCTTGTGGGTCATTTGGCTTATCTCTAAACAATTTCAAGCATAAAAATCATCGTACATGTGACTATAAAATTGGTTAGAAATGTCTACTTATAATAGATATACCCCACAACTTGTTAGGTAATAAACACCTTAACAAACTTTTGTTGCTTAATAGAAAGATTCTAAAATTTCGTAACTTTAAATATAGTTTCCCAATATGAATGTTCAACATGAAATTGGGTATACTTCAAATTATGATAAACATTAATAGAATCTGCATAGTTAACAAACGACTTTAGCATAAGAAATGTTGAATTCTATCTATTTGGTATACCATATAGAAATTTACCTTTTTTCCATTCCTAAATTTTTTCAGATCCTTCCAAATTCGTTTTGTCGAGAATTTGAAGAAGTAATATAGTTAATAGTATCTTATTATAAACATTTGTGGTGGTATTCATTTCAAACCATCTTGAACAATTAAATTAAGCATATGACAAACACGTCGTACATGAAATAATTTAGCATCTAAATGGGGTTGAAGTGTTCTAATTAAAATCTCAATGCATGCAGTATTAGGCTTAGAATTATCAAAACTAATGCTAACTAATATATGTAAAACATCAAATTTATTGAAAACTAGCGATAAATAATGTCATTAAAACTATTAAATTCTACTTTTAAATTTGTGTGTCATTGTATGAAATAATTTCATAATTTCGGAACGAGCAGTATTTCTACTTACGTTTTGATAAGAGGGTTGGACATACTTTTGCATAAACTCCTCGAAGGATTTATCTTTTGTGTAGGTAAAGGGCAACTGTTTACTGCCAAAATTTATGGCATTCTAGTTCTCATTCTCTCTTGTGAATAAGAAAGGTTCGGAAAAGTAATTAATCCACAAATATATTTAAAAGGCATAATTTTGTTTGTTTAGCATCTAAATTTTTTTCTTCCTTAAAATGAGATTTTTGCAAGTTGCAATGTGCCAGTGCTTTGACCGTAAATCCATACGTATTCCTTTGAACACATTTTACACACTGTTTTTCCTTTTTAAATCAAATTTAAAATTATGCCACACATCTCTTTTTTTTCTTTTTTCCTTTTTTTTTTTTTTGATAGCTAGATGATCCAATTTCTAGAGCATGAGCATCTAGATTTATTGTAGAACAACTATCATATAAATTAATATTGTCAGTAGAAAAATTGTTAAATTCCATAACATTGTATTAACTAGTAAGTAATAAGTTACTTAAAATTTAGAACAAGAAAATGAAGGTTAAATTATTATCTTCAACAAGAAAAATCGTGGAATTCCATAACACATTCGTCGTATTTTATTTTAATAAGAAAAATCTTGGAACTTCATAATACATCGGCGCATTATGACCTTCAATCTTCTATTATCTAGTACATTTTGCATTTGGTGACGGTTTGCATCCACGAGTTCATTAGTAGAGTGTAAAAAGACTTCTTTTCTTCTCATATTTTTAAATAAGCAAACAACAACGAATATGAAACCAAAGCTTTAACAACTTTATGACCTAGGTTTGAGCCTCCTTTGGGAGTGAAATCATTTGGACCCCCTTTGAAAATAAATAAAGCAAAATAAAAAATAAATACAAAAGTGTGACATATTATTTACTCCTAATCATTTGGACCAATTGTTCTACTTATGGAAGATTGTGGATGAAAATGTGACAAAGATATGTGGGGAGATAAATTTGACAATAAGAGAAGATTGGGGACTTGCAACAAAGGTAAACTATGGTGACAATATAGTTATACTCAGTTATGTTCGGCTAACGTTATTAGTAACTTAAAAATTACTTCTACTATCCCATCAAAATAAAATCTTGATTTCAACCATACATTCAAAATTATATATTACATTATAGTTCAAATATTTTGTGGTCACATTACCATTCATCCTAAAAAGTTTCAAAAAAATTACAAATATTAATTATTTGATGGAGACACTCCATGAGATATGCATATTCTACAAAATGAAAGTTTCAAGGACCCAATTGCTATAGAGTGAATGTTGAAAACCAACTTGCTTTATCCTACAGAGGTCGAAAACTTGAGCTATAATTTTCCTAGGTGCATGTTTGGCAAAATTATTTCGAAGTCAATAATTAATTTTAACTTCATATATAGGACCCATAATTTTTATCAATATTTCAATCATATATTTCATCCGAATTTTATCAAGTATACTAAAAGTTATATAAAAGGCATTGTTAAACAACCCCTAGATTGTAATACGGCTTCTCAACTAGGTTTTAATATGTCCAAGCAACTTGTGTTCCAAAGCCCTTGTTTGATGGCCATTATTGGATAAAAATGATGTTTTGAATAATGATTTTTTGGAAAATGTATGATTAAAATGTAAGAAAATTTTTGAATTTACGTGCAAAATATTTTAGCCCCTATTTGACAGTCATTGTTTGGGAATGATGAGTTTTAGAATAGTAAATTTTTGGAGAATGTGGTTAAAAAGTAAGAAAAATTTTGATTTACGTGAAGAATATTTTATTGTGAGAATGAGAGGTTAAAAATAAATAAGAGAAAAAAAATAGTTGTCAAACTGAGGCTAATTATGTGAGGGTCCGTTTGACTGCAATAATGAAATTTAGGTGAAAAAATGAATTCCAGATAATTGAATTGTCTCGAACTTGTTTTACTGAAAATTGTCAATTAATGTGTTTGATTGGTACAATTTTTCACTTGAAAATGTTGAAATTTTGGATCTTTTGATATACATTTAGCTTTATTTTTCATGAAAATTATCAATTAAAATGATAGAATTTGTTTCGATTGCCGGAAAAAAAAAGGCTAAAAAACTCAATTCCCGCCAAAACCAAAAGAAAATCAATTCCCTAAAACCCAAGAAAAATGTGGTCACATGGGGGGTTTATTGGAAAATCAATTTTATGAAAAATTTTGTCCATCAAACATATCATTTAGGTGGAAAATTTCCGTGAAAAAAGAAGCCTATCAAATAGGTTTAAATGTACTATTAAAATGAGTGTGAAAAATAAATAAATAAATAAATAATTGTTTTAATGGAAGTCAAACTTGGGCTAATTGTGTCTCAACTTCTTGTAGGTGGTCCCGCAAAGTCATGCATGCATGGGAAATATTTGTAAAAAACAAAAAAATTAAAAAAAAAAAAAAAAAAAAAAAACAAAGGGGTAAGACATGAACATGAAACTCGAAAACTATTTTGGATTTTCGAAGAGTTTTCAATTAGAAAATGTATTCAAAGTAAAAATAGTTTATGCTATATGTACAACCGAGGTTGACTAATTCAAGTAAAAATGGTAACATCAGAGGCAAAGACAGGATAGGATAAAAAAAATATTTTTACTGAACTAAGATATTGAAGAAAAAAATTCACGTATAAAAGAAATAAAGGATAGGGCTGCCTCCTATCTTCCCCCTGGCCACATCCAAGAAAATATCTACCCAAATACTAGTATATATGTACGAAGAACTCAATTGAAAACCATCAAAGAAGAGAGAGAAGTAACAATGGAGCGTCTTAATAGGCCAAATCGTAGTGATATTCATTTGTCTAAAGAGGAAGAAGTAAAGATTGAGGAAGAAACAAGAGATTATTTTGATGGTTTGGCACCAAAACGCCACACAAAACCTCAGAGGAGTGAGTATTCTTCCGCTTATACTGATACCCTAAACTCCATTAATGATGTCAATAATCCTGAATATGCTGAATTCCAACGTCTGGAAAAGGAAACTCAGGTGATCTACTTCTACTTGTTCTACTTATAAATGTATTCTTGATAAATCAACGTTTATATCTAGATTTAGATGGATATGTTTGGACTTAATAAGTGTCTTTGATATCTTTTCGTTGTGTAAATAATTCTCGATGTGAAAGCACGGGGAAGATTTATGAATAGGGAAGAACGGAAAGTTGTAGGGTTTTTATGAATTTTATTCAAAATAGTGCAAGGATATGTTTGGTACGTTGTACTGGATTAGATTAGACGATACTTAGACAATATTTGTTGTTATTATCAGGGAAATGTGTTTGGAAGGCAAGAAACCTCTTTTAACACGTCTTCGTAGATAATTCTTGACGCAAACGAGTGATTGATAGAGAAAATGAGTAGATCTGTCAATCCCAAATGAATTTACTAATTCAAAATTCAGTAAATGTACTATCAATTGCTAGGTCCAAGAACTTCTTAACCTAAAACAAGATATCTTTCTCGTCCATCGGATGATTAAGGTAACATTGTGCACCTTAGAAACTAGTAAGAATATTAACAACTCATTTTTTATTTTTTCGTTTCATTTAAATAACCAAGAATTGTGATCTTGAACACACACAATGCACTCTTAAAATGGAAAAAGCCATGAGTAAAGGGAATTCAATTTGAACTTCTACCTACGTTGACGTGGTTATAGATGATTGGATTGTTTTCTTTATTCTCTTTCCATCTTTCAATCAATTCCTGCCATGTGTTGTCTGTCAAAGTTTTATGTCAAAATTTTCTATACTTGTAGCATGAATGAAAATGGATCTCAAGATGGAAAGACTCGTTCTTTAGGACGAGTTACGAGGGAGCATTTTTTCCCCTGAAACCGCCCATCAGGAATATGATTTTTGCTGCAGAAACTGGTTTAGAAAACTGTGTTTAACAAACAAGATTTTCTTTTGGTGCAGAAACTGGTTTACGAAGGAAGCAAACCAGCTGAGGAGTTTATGGAAACTGAGTATTACAATGACCTCAATTGCATCGACAAGCAACATCACAGGGTATCAATCTGAAATTTGTATATACCTATTGATAAAACTGGTATTTTATTTTACAAATTTTTAAGGGTAAAATATGTTACTAAACTTCGTTTTGTTACAAATCAATCATCGAATTTTATAATTTAATCAAGTCACTTTATCCAAGTTTGTAAGGTTGGTATGTTTTTATAATGCGTTAATTCTTTTTCATAACAGACTGGAGCAGGGTTCATACAAGGGGAGAACACAAATGGGGTTTCCTTCAGCATAGCACCAGATTCTGCAGCTGAACCTCATGCCTCATGCAAGGGAAATCCTGCTACTAATGACTGGACTCCATCTTCTGCTGATATGGTAATGATACCTCGACAATTCCCCCATTCATTACGATTTTTCAACGTCTATGACATTTTTTGTATGGCAAATTAGACAGTACTGAACAATATTAAAATAGCAAAAGATGCTTCTATCTTGTCCTTTTTTTACTATTGTCGAGTATGGTCGACACCAAGTGTATTCGATGCACAGTGCCATCTTAACATTGTATGGCAAATTAGACAGTACCTGAGAATATTAAAGAGAGCAAAAGATGCTTCTATCTCGTCCAATTTTTTATGTTGTCGAGTATGATCCGACACTGACTATATTTCATGCACGATGTTAGATAAAATTCCATTCCTTAACCTGTCTAATACTATCTAGTCAAACATTGCCAAAACGTGTCATTACTATCTAAATTGTGCTCTCATTTTCCTGATTGCAGAAGAATTTTGTATCTGACAAGCCAAAAAGGAGTGACAACTGAAATGGAGGATACAAGTCATTCTTGAACAAGCTGCAAATTATTGCAATTTCATCATCTTCATTTCATGTTGCAAGCATTTCTATTACTAAATATTGTATTCCCAACTATGCCTGCATTTCTATGATTGGAGCTGTATTTCCAAGTGTGCTAGCAGCAATATGAACTTTCCATATGTATTATCATTTTCTATAATAAGAGTAGAGTTCATTTCTTTCCTTTCATATTCCTGTTCCTATATTTTGTATCTCGCAAGACACAGGAATCCACTATTTTAATTAAAAAAAAAAAAAAGAAAAAAAAAAGGGCACCACCAGCACCATAAAGGCATACACACTTACCCTGATTATCTTGAATTCAAATTAGTAACAAATGTATAATTTTTTCTTGTCACATGGCTAAAAAGGGAAAGAATATCTTGTTTCTACAGTAGTCCAAATGATACAAGGACCATAAATTACCAACGTATTGGTGCTGTAAAATCTCAGGCTGAAAGATGACTGATGTACAACTTCCTATTTCTTTTAAGTTAAGAAGTCCCCAAATGATACGTACATCGGTTAGTGTACTACTTGTTTTCTCCTAGTCCCTCGACCCGATTGAGGGCAGCACAAACCAATGGATTTCACCACGGATTTGTTCACACCCCCGTAATGTACAAGCTAGCAGCAAAGACGATGTCACGCTTGATTGCATTCGAAGCAGTTTCCATTTTCTTGAAGATCGAAGAATTACCCATAATTGCTGCAGCGTTCCTAAATTCACGACATGTTTCGTCCAATCTGACAATTGTTCTTACTATCATACCTTCAGGAACATCAGTAAGTTCACAGATATCTGCAAATGGTGTGCCCTGTGGATAAGAAAAGAAAGTACAATTAGATTAGACGAAGTTATCATAAAAGATATTCCCAAGCCTTGCAATGAAACTGCATAAAACGCATGCCTACCCCTACAGGGTAGGGGCTGGCAGAGGGGTTATGCTGTAAGGTGCAGGTGAAAATACGGATTCTCTCAAAATACTGAGATTTTGAACTCGTTGAGTCACGAGATGCCAACAACCGTACAAATAATTGGGCGGACAAATTTTTATTCAATAAATTCCCTCCTTTTTCATTAGACCCAATGGTCTTTCCTACTAAAGCACTGGAAGAAGAATCCACTACGCCATAATAAAAATCCTAACGAGAGAAGAAAATCTAAAAACTACCGCCAGAATATGCAGATCACAAAACTACCAAAAACAATTCATAATATTCTTTTGTGAGTTGAAGGGAGACAGAGTGACTAGAAGAATACCTTTGCCCATTCATAGACGACTTCAACAAGACCAAACTTAAGATTCTCTTGGGCATATTCCTGGGGATCAACTGGCAATTTGAACTGTGCTTGAAGCTCTCCTAGTCTTATAGCCGTGTCATACAGTCTGAATTACAGGAGAACCAGCATTATCTTTATAGAAAGAAATGGACAAACTAGCAATATTTCTGTTTGCATAAAATAAGGGACAGTTAATAATGCCAATCATAACATAATTTTCCAGGAACAACTAGAGAACACATCAGTGTTAGCAGAAAAATTACAGCATGATATTCTGTAATTAGTGTATATACCATATTTAGTTAGCATGACTTATGTAATGGCTGATTCTCAGCCGTGTAATGATGTAATGGGTGATTCTAAGCCTTGTAATTAGAAAATTCTACCTATTTGATGAAGGGAACTCTCAAATGAAGAGGCATTCAAACAGAAATCATTGAGTTTGACAAGCATGCCGTAATTATCCTGCTAACAATCAAAACAAAGTAAAAATCCAAGAAATTTGAGGAAGTGATGAATGTGATCGAAGTGATTATACTGATCACAATATCAACAATTCAATCAACACAGAAAATAGATAACAAGATAGGGGAAGCAAACTAAAATACATGTTTGGCTAAGCTTAAAACAAGTAAAAGTTACAATTAAGCTTCTTTTTGTCAAACACGATTTGAAAAGTTACTTCAAAATGTAGATCTAAGAAAAATCCACAAAAAGCACCAGTAATATAGAAATACTACCCAATTTAATAGCACGCATTAAAGAACTCAACAGTAGATGCGAGCATAAATTAAGAGTTGGAAAAGTATGCTACCTCTTTTTGGCTTGAGACAGCTTTGGTGTAAGAGAAGGTTCAGAAGTGTTCTTCTGCTGAAAAACAAAGGCAGACATTATTGCCACAGCTTCTTCTGGTTCCAGGTCGTCCAGTTGATTCTCAAACAAACACTCTGTGCATATCAACTCCTCCCCAGAATTCATTTCACAAGCAACACGGCCTTTAATTTGCACTACAAGGTCAGAATCTATACACCCAATTTCCTTCAAAACATCTATCTGTATTGACATGACTAAGATGTCAGATAGGACTATGGAGGCTCAAGATCAATCATAGATAAATTGTCAGAATAAATTTAATTTCTGCCAAAAGAAAGTAATGCAATTTTATGCAGAGATGAAGCCACATACCCGACCCTGAAAGGCAGGCATCTGCTGAAGTGCCTCGTCTGACATTTGAAACTTCAGAGCATTCACTTCCTCTCTGTGCCACTTCAATTCTCGAGCTATCTTGATGTTCTCATTCAATTTAATACATCCATGACACTTATTCTGTGCCATCTTCTGTAATAGGCTATTCCAAATGTGGTAAGCTTCAACGACGTTCATGTCTTTCAACTTCAGATCTGGCATTTACTTTTCATCATCATCTCAATTGAAAAGAAGATCCCTAAATAAAATCTGAGAGCATCCAAATAGACCACATATTTGCTATATCCAGAATTCAGTACCATGCAACTCTCTGATGTTCATATTAAAGAATGGCAGCACATACTCAGACTTCTATCACCCTACCTAATACACCTACCTTCTATCAAGGCTTAGGACCTATAGGAAAAAAGACGGACAAGAACTGAACATGTCCACAAGTGAAGCTGGCCCCAAGTCCATGGGATTCATGTAGCTCAGCACAAGTAGCTGAGATGAGGTTTCACTGAATTAAGTAAATATGTATCACACAGTCCAAAAAAGAAAACCAAAAAAATTCTGATAAAAAATCAAGTTTTTAACCTAAATGAGGAAAACCTCAGGCCCAAGAACTAGTATTAGATAATGAAGCACATAAAATGTACAAGTAGAGTGTACTTATGATGCTCAGATTTGGGTACAAATATGGGCACGTATCTAAATGTTGAATAATTTATTTTCTAAAATGTAGGATATGGGAACATGGCTAAAAAGAACCCAAACTTCGGACACGAGTACATGAATACGTCTTTCAAACTTCAATTTTTTTACTAATCCAAGATGTTATTTTGAATATACCAAAATAAATTATTCACAAAGAAGGAAAATAGATATTGAATAAGAGGTTAAGACGAATAAAATAAAATTTTGGGATTTAGTTTTCAATCATGGGAATTCCTAAATGTTATATAAAATAGAAAATGAAGGACTTGATTGCAATTTGAATTTAGTGGAGCACTAAATAACACTATATGGAACCTATTTTCATTTTATATAAATAAAACCCTAAACCACCATTACAGATAGAGAAGGCAAAAATCTAGCAATGCCGCCTTTCTCCACCCTCTCAGCGGCAACACTAAGTTTATAGAGAGCGAAAACAGGAAAGTAAAGGGGAAAAAAAAGAAAGAAAAAGCAAAAACGACGAAGTGTCCTGTTGAAATTTGGAGGATCCGATACAAATCTCATACCCATACCCATGATATGTCGTGCCGTATCCGATACGAGTACTCCGATTACTTCGAAGAGTCTGAGCATCAGAGGAGTATACTAGTTAAACAAATGATACTTCTAATGTTCGAGTTCCTATCTTAATTGAACCCGAAGTTCACTCAACTTGTTGGTTCTTGCACAACACCTGCAAATGACGTCATGAAACTTGCATGAAATTCTCTTTTAGTATCAAATTAAGGCAGCCCCCATCTATTGTGTTGCATGGTTATTATAAATAGTTGCCTGATATTATTTCTAATGAGCTTAATATATAAGCTGCTTATGTCGCTTCTAACCAAAGTTTTAGCACTTACCAATCACCCAAATTTCCAGCTTTTCAACTCAGTTGCTTTGTCCCTACTTCAAAACAAAGCAGATGGGACCCCTAATACGGAATAAAACACAAAATATCTTTCCAATCTTTCCATTATGTTTTAGAATGATCCCCCACTCTGCTATTATTCAAATTCTACTAGTGTAAACTTCTCCCCATGTTATTTTATGGTACAAATAAGGTACTAAAAAAATATTACGGTGGGGAAACTAAAGATCCCCCCCCCCCAACCACCACCACACTCGCAACCAACCCTTCAACCTAGCTGCACAATCAGCCACGAGCACAATCACATGATGCTGCTGCCACCAACCACTGTTCAGTTGACCACAACACTGGAAAACTACCATAACCATCCCAAAACTACTGCCAACCAAACCCCTCACCCCCAAATTAACAATTATCATCACCATTGGCCACAACCACCATCCTAATAAAGCTACAAAATGTTGGTGTAGAGCAGAGGTGGAGAGCAAACCACCTCTGAATGTTTTATCCTCCAAGTGCAAACTCCAATTGGATCAGAAAGATAAATCACTGTCATACCAATTGGATCAGAAAGATAAATCACTGTCATAAACTATATACCATTTTGGCATAAAAACAGAAAATAGATTATCACTTATTTTATTAATATAACCACTGGATTTGAAGTTAGGAAACTCTGCTATTGTGGCAACTTTCCTTTCTTATTAAGCTTTCTAAATATAAATAGCAGTAATATAAAATCATGTAAACAAATAGTTTGAGTATGCAGTGTTTTGAAATTATTCTCCCAATGAATTCTCTCCCAATTTCCTAATCTTCTTATCTTTCTTTCTCAATTCTTCTCTCCTCTCATTCGGCTAACATTGGTATCAGACCCTACTTTCCTATGACTAAACCCTTTCTCCAAAGCTACAGCTCTGGTAATGTTAGTTGAATAAAATAATGTTCACGTGCCAACAGCACACGCACTAGGAACCACTCATGGAGTATTTTGCAGTGCTCCGATTTTAGTTCTAAAGTGGTCCATATCTTCTGAGATTTCATGCGTTGATGCAAATTTGGTGGAACAATATTTGCAGTTGAGTGAACAAAGTTGAGTTCCTTTCAGTTAGGAGGGTATCATGGAGATTGTGATAACGATTTTGGTGAAGACTTAGCAAAAGACACATCATTCAACGCGCAATAAAAGTAGAATAAGATTTATTTTGATTTTTCTCAATATAATTATTAGTTCTAAATTTGGGAAATTTGCCAAAAGTTTTCCGTTCTATGAATATGGACATTTTAAGTCCATGAAACATACTTTTTTACCGAGAGACCCCATTATAAACAGTAAATTCACAAGAAAAACTTCCCACAAAGTCATTCAACAGTCAACACCTTACTCATGAAACATCAATCAGCATTGACCACAATGACACAGTCTCAAGTATATTAGCCACCCAATCAGTTTTCGGACAGTAAGTGAAAAGAGTTCATTTACGTACCTTTCACTGGATCCAAGGCAGGTGGATACTTATTTCCATCAGACTTCAGAGTCAGAAGCTGCTGAACAGTAATTGAATAGGCGCCAGCACTAACATCTTCAAGAAGCCGAACTTGGTCAATCTTTATTTTGTGTTTGCATATGGCCAAGAACTCATTATTATCAACTCCCCTAACCTCGTAACTCACTCCAGCAGCAAAACCACGGTGAGGTAATTTTATATTGACAATACCAGATCCTTTACGAGAAGTGACTGAAGAACAATAATCATCCTCCAAACCACGTTTTGATTTTGGTACCAAAATTTGGAAATCAGAACCTTTTTTCTCTCTCAAATTTTCATTATCTGACTGCGTAGGAAGTGATGAAGGTAATTCCGGAGTCACCACTAATACTATGTACTGTTTATAGTTAACAGAAGGGGCTTTGACAACAACCGCTAATAGGTGATCTCGGGCCTGCCAATGATTCAAAAAATAAAAATAAAAAATGGGAGCCAAAAACATAACAAAAAAGGAATAAGTGTGCATCTCTTGTTGTTTGTGTGAATTAGACGTGCTAAAGAAACAGCTATCAAGCTAAAAACATATGGACTCAGTTCAACACTTGACCAAAAGCTTAAAATGTTAGCAACAGTCACATATATATCATTTAAATCTTGAGTTCAAAATACATCCCTCACTAGTGGCATGGCAGCGTTCATATTTTTCTTCAAATTTTGGCATGCGCATAATTTCATTAAATGGGTATCGGCGAGACTTTAACACATGACCTTAGATTACTCTTATATCATGTTGAACCACTTGATTTAAAAGCTTAAGCTATTAGAAAGAACCATACATATATCATATAAATCTTGTCTTCAACAAACTCCAATATATATTAACTCAAGTGAACTTAAAAAATTTCCTATCCCATACTAGAACTATGATTCCACGTGAATTTGTAAAATGATATCACTTTAACCAAAAGAATTTGAAAACATAATATGCCCCTATTTGATTTTACTAAAAATCAGATTTTTAGTAGATTTGGATAAAAGGTGATGAAATGTATGGTTGAAAGTTGATAAAAGTTGTGGGTCCCATGAAATATGTGATTGGAAATGAATTAGGGAAATAATGAGTTTTAAAAAATGGGGGCCAAACAAGGGCCCCCAGGGTTAAATCTTCACTTGACAAGACTAAAAACAGTACCCAAGAGGAAGTTATATACTGGAATTTTGAGCAATTACCAAATAAAAATAGAAATTAGATGCGTATACTGGAGTGCTTTTTTAAAATATTGTAAGCAATTCAAACTCATCAATTCTGAGTGATATTCTCAAAGGAAATGCCCAAGTAATGAACTGATCAAAGCATCCCCTCTGTGAACAAGGATTTTATTTGTGAATAAATTTAGCCAGTGATGAACTTAATTGCGTACTCACAGATTGTGATTTTACAACTACCACCCTTCCAGGAGTGAGATATTGTTGGGAAACTGGGGAATGCATGACTGCCTCTGTAATCTGATTGCCGTACGTCTCAGCCTGTGAGTACAGATCATAATATTCTTCTATAGCGGGCTCGCCCTTTATGCATCTACATCCACAAGACATACTTGATGAACCAATTTATGGTATTGGGAAACATCATGCTCTCGCAGAAGGTAGCATTCACATTTTAGTTATGATTCTATCAACAGTGGTTATATCTAACGTGCTTACTCGATGGCTTTATTAGGCTGAGCAAGCTTTAGCATTAGAAGTTGTTGCTGCTCTGGAAGATTCTTCTGAGCATGAAATTCTGCAAAACTTCTTTTCAGCATGTCTTCTACCTGCAAAGTGACGCTCCTCAACAAATATCAACAGCATGAACAACTAATTCAAGTAATTCTTAAACACATTTAATCCGTAAACTAATATCTTCATTCTTCATTACTAGTGTGACGGCATAAACTTAGGCCATCCCTTCACTCACTACTCTATTCCTTGATTGAACTAAAGGCCACCAAGTCCTCATCAGCTCATTTATTATTATTTCAAAGAAAACCTCGGTCTGTCCCCTTGAGATAAAATCATGGATCCCCAAACACTTAACCGCAGCAACAGGTTGCATAAGAAAGACTGCTCAGAGGCAAAAGAGTTACAAGATTGACTCGAAAACGTACCCAACTTCATTAAAAAAATAAGAAAAAATGTAAACGACAAATGCATCTTAGGTTCTGTTTGGTATAGAGCATTTTAAGAAAAAATATTACCTGAAACTTTATATGATACCAGTGGTGTGTTGTGCATGATGGTTTTTGGGGGGTAGGGGTGGTGTGTAGTATGGTAGCAGCAGTTTGCACTTGTTAGGTGGGGGCAACATTTTAATATCACTTGGGTCATGCAACAATTCTAACACAGCTCTGCCGAATAATGAAGTGAAGCACAGCAGGCAGCTTGTTGGTGGAAGCGAGGGGTTCAGTAGTAATGAAAGGCAAGAATGAAGAGCACAAAAATATGGAGAGGGGCCGGAAGGGGGAACGAAAGAAAGATGGCAGAACCTGTGGGCATGGAGAGGGGTTCCCTGTGCACAATATGGTGTTTGGTCTTTGGTGGGATCGCATGCAGTGGATCCTCAATGCATGGTGTTAAATATTGTTTCAGAATAGAACAGCTATATAGCTGCTCTCTGTTTACAAGTCATTATGGACTCCAATTTAGGAATAAAAATGTTAAATTTTAGAAAATGCAAGCAAACAGATACTCTGACATGTTAACACAACCAGTAAAAACACTGAGAATGGAAATGGTACCAACTGTACCTCCTTTTTTGTTATAATCTCTCTAGTGGGTCCATTTCATCTATCTAATTCTCGACACTTCGTCCTACACCATACCTTTCGATAATTATCTATCATGAATCATTTACCATTTGATATCCTCTTTTTTCCAGTCAGTCAAAGCTATTTATACCTTCAGTTCTTCAACACGAAGGAGATGCAAGATCATGATGTAGGTCAGTCGAAATTGAGATTTAAGCTTAGTTGCACTGCCAACTATAACATGCTTCAAATCCCTCTCCTCAGGTATTTCGTCACGGCACATCACAACAACTGTACCAATTTTATCTAGTCCTCTCCTGCCAGCACGACCAGACATCTGAGTATATTCTCCAGGAAGCAGCTGCCGAAATTCTTTGCCATCAAACTTCCTCAAACCATCAAAAACAACCTGCCAGATGATAAAAATAGCAACTGACATATACATAAGAAAGAAATATTGATGCTAATATTAGTGATCCAACAAGAACCAATGATTATGGAACTACAAAGATGTGCACTATCTTCCATTCGACATCTAGAATAATGCAACTAAATATATAATTTAAATAATATTAAATCCAATAGGAAATATGTAATCATATAACACAAATTATAAAGATTAAGCCTTCTTAACTCATGTAGTAATTATACATCTCACAGAAACTCTATTGATAACAACTTACCGTCCTAGCTGGGGCATTGACTCCCATTGCAAATGTCTCCGTTGAAAACAGAATCTAAGAATAACCAAGGACACAGCAATTAGAAGTCTCAGTAATTAATTAAAAACTAACAGACAACAAGGATGTAGATTTGAGCATGTTTGGCTAAGCTTAAGAATAAGTATGTGTTATTTTGACTTTTTGTTTCGAAACAAGTTAGGATATGTTATTTTTTCTAAAGTAAAAGTTAATAAAGTGACTAAGTTAACAATTGCTCTTCTAAAGGTAAACTTGCAAATTGGTCATTGACAGGGGAATTGGTCATTGACAGGGGAAGCACCATGAATGTGGTCTCTAAGTCCGCTATAGCTAGATTGAACCTTAAGGTAGAGCCACACCCCCAGCCTTTTAAGGGGGACGGGGTAGATAAAACAACCTTACCTGTCACTGAGAGGTGTCTTGTTCCAATCCAGTTAGGTGACTATAAGGATGAGGTTGATTGTGATGCCTTACTCACGGATGTAGCTCATATCCTTCTAGGACGCCCTTGGCTTTATCTTAAATGTCAAAACAAGTACTTATTTTTAATTTTGATAACTAAAAACATTTCATACTGTAAAAATTACTTATTTACTTATAAAGTGAACTTACTAGTAAACTTTTTAAGCTTAGCCAAACATGCTCACAATTTATGAACTATTTGATATCTTAAATATTCAATCTGCAGAAATATAATCATAATCCTGCTTCAATCTGGCATACACCATCTTTTCAGTTATTATTTTAGGAAATACACAATAAGATTCCAAAAAAAAAAAAACAAATATATGAGTTCCACGCAAAACCTGCAAATAAGATGTAAATAACCTTTGAAACAAAAAAGCAGCAACTTACAAATTTACCTTGATTACCCCACGACAGAAAAGCATTTCCACAACTTCCTTAACAATTGGAAGCAATCCAGCATGGTGAACACCAATCCCTCTCCGAAGGAGTTCTTGAACTCTAACAACCTGTAATTCCTGTGTGTCAAATTCCTGGATCCCAAAATCAGTTACAATTAATAAAAATCAAATACTACACCTGAGGTAGATTTCTATCTGATCCTTTTAACCTTGAAAATGCTTTATCACAGAAGATTCGGATTTCACTTTTCTCGGAGCTAGTTGTGAGGTCAGTCCCAGTCATTTTATCAGCTGATTTGTCACAGCGATTTTTTGAAAAACAAAATATGACCACCTGAAGACACAAGTAATTATGATAAATGAAAAATTTTAAGTTATAACAAGACAACGTGTCAAAACCACATTAGTAAAAGTTTGAAGAATGGAAATAGCATGAAACACATTTAGTTTTCAGACATCTAGTAAACGCTCTTATCTAGAAGTACAGTACTTCATCCAGAATAAGTCAATATAGAGCTATTGAAGTAGTAGAACAGGAAATACAATAGCCAAAGCAACTTGTTTCTTTAATATTTTGAGGATGCACTAAAAAGGCATAGACATCAGAATAGAATTTTTCAAACATACTGGTAAGAGGGATTTCTTTGAAAGCTTGTTGATAAGAGACAACCACAAAGAAGCTTCTGATCTCCGTGATCCCCAAGCATTACTGCCACCACTGTTTTTATTTCCCCAACTAGCCCCAGAATTCCCCAAATTTTGGAATCCAGAATGTTTGTTTTGTTTTCCCTGAGAGAAACTTTCACGTTTCTGAGCTAGAGCCCTGTCATTCGCTGCTGAAGATCCAGAATAGGTTCCTGTGCCTCCAGCAACATTTGTGTTTTTCTTCTTGGTAGCATCTTTGGCAGCTTTTAAACCCTGCGGCAGAATTTGTTCATTTTCACAGATCTTGTAAAGCTCTCCAGAATAAAAAAGGCAATGCTCCAGTGGGACTGGTCTTTTAGTCGTACTGATGAAGACAATAAAAAAATATAGAAAGAAATCTATGAGAATCCATCGTTGTATTAATACGAAATATGCTTGTGTTGAAGTACCCCGTAAAGGTCATAAAAATGTATTGAAATGGTCAGTGAACTTTCATTACGAGAAGATGATACTAACCAAATAACCTGAATTTGCTTTTGTTTTGTCCGGCGAATCCAATCAGCAAACTCATTGGTGTTTGGTACCTACAGAATGAAAAAGACTACTTTATATGGTAACAGAAAGAAAAAAACTGCAATGAAAACATGGGTACCAATGTGCATCGGCTTTCAGCATTCTACTTAGGGCCCATTTGGGATAGCTTTTCAGAAGCCAAAAGGAGCTTTTGTGGTCCAAAAGTGCTTTTGAACCTGTTTGGCTAATTTTATAAAATGACTTTTACTAATTGAAAGAGCTTTTAGAAGAAGCCACTTCTTCTTCTAAAAGCTCTTCCACAAAAAAGACGGGAAGCCAGTTTCTACTTTAATGAAAATTTTAAATTCCAATATTACCCTTACATTTGTAAAGAACAAAATGAAATTCCAACCGTGTCCTAAGAAATCACGTCCTTTTCAATTCTCTTCATTCTTCTCTAATCCCATTCTTCAGTCTACAGGAATTCCTCTCCTCTCTAGGTAAGATTTTGCAATTTACCTTCAATTTCTTATCATTTTATTTTACAATAACATTATTTATCTACAACACATGGGTTAACTACAATAGATTCGTATCGTTGCCTTTTTATTTTTCTTTTCTGGGTTTTATTCAAGAAATGACGGGTTTAATGTGTATTTATCTGGGTATTTTAATGTGCCTTCGGTTTTAGAAGATGGGTTTGTGATTGGGTATTTCCTGTTCATCTACATGCAGCCGATTGATGTTCCGGTAGAAATTTCTTTTATCATTGACATTTTCGTTTTGCCGTATACATTTCATTTTCTTCGAATTTCTTGCTTCCGAGTGCTGCTGAGTGGGTTTAATAATGAATGCTTGTGCCGTGTATTTATATATAAAGTGAGAAAGCAGAGCTTGGGAAAATAATTTTTAAATGATTGCAACAATGGATTTAGCATGAAATCAGTTAAGACAAACTGAATTTTTGTAGATATATTGCTCATTCACAAGGGGGGGTGGGGGGTGAGGGTGCAAAAAGAAAGTTAAAAGTGAGTGGAACCCATGTGTTGTGAGGGTGCATGAAATCAGTAAAGATACCCCCACCAACGTTTTTTAGTTGCCATAATGAGTGGAACCAATCAGTCCATCTTCTAACTTCAATTTAAATACAATTTTGCATGAATATGTCTCCAACATTCCTTGGTTCAAATATGTCCCTGTCTCTCTACATTCCTTGGTTCAATTCTTACTAAATACGTCCCTGTCTCTCTACATTTTCTGATTGAATCTCTGGTATATTCGCCATTTATAAAGCAAGAATATTGAGGAACAATTAACTGTAAATAAAACATTTTTAAATGTAGATGGCAACCGAGGGGATAAAGGGAAAATCAAAAGCAATTTGGGATGCACGAACACATGAGATTTGGGTTGATGTAGCTGTAGAACAAGTGAGGGCTGGTAACAGAAATGGAACACACTTGAGCAAAGAGGGTTGGAAACTTTTTACTGAGAACTTTAACAAAGCAACAAATAGAGATTATGATAGGAAACAACTAAAAAATCATTGGGATGTAGTAAAGAAAGAGTGGCAGCTATGGGATGCATTGTTAAGAGGAGAAACTGGACTTGGTTGGGATATGGAAAGGCAAACTATAGATGCTCCAAATGAATGGTGGGTTACAAAACTACAAGTAAGTGTTTGAATTTTCTTTATTTAAGTATAATACACCCAATTATGTTAATATTTCTAAAATTGTAAATTATTTAACAGAAATATCCGGAAGCTGCAAAATATCGTGTGAAGGGCTTAGATCATGCATTCAAATTAGATGAGTTGTTTCACGATGTCACAGCTACCGGAGCAAGGGCTTGGGCACCTACATCTGGTGTAATGCATCCTTTATATTCACAAAATATAACGATTACTGAAGATGATGATTCTGCTGAAAATGAACAATTTGATGGTGACCATGAGGAAATAGGGTATAGCAGTCGCCAAGATAAAGTGGTTGAGCCAACTAGGAAGCGACTAAGGAAGGGAAAAAATAAGCAATCAACAACAACAAAACTATGCAACCAACTTGAAGAACTTCGTGAAGCTGTTAAAAATAGGAGCTCCTATATACGCACTGATCCACCTGGATGTAGTGTTCAAGAGGTTATGGATAAGATGGCTACACTTCCAAGTTGCGAACCAATGACTCCTCTTTTCAAGCTAGGATTGGGCCTATTCACAAAGAAAGCAAATAGAGAGATTTTTGTAGCTTTAAAGGAACCCGAGTATCAAATTGAATGGCTGAAGGATCAACAATACCAACTTTGAAATATTTATCTTAGGGTTAAAGTAATATATGTTGACACATTTATTTTGGCAAAATCAACTACTTTTCTTATTTGTAATCTATGTGAGACTTGTGTTATTTGAAGGTAATATGAAGTTTATGTTATTGTAAGGCATTCACTTGATGAATTTATTTTGTGAAATTATATTATTTTATGAATGGTTATATGATTACAGAATGGACGACGATTCAGATGAAGAGCTACATGAAGAATACATAAATCAAGTTATGAGAGATGAAACAGATTTTAATGAGCTTGTCCTTACTATTGCAGCTACAATTGTGCAACATCATAACACTTTTTTGGTAAAAGAACCATGTAGGGATTCCTCTCATACAGGAATGAAGTTTGTTATGGAGATTCTTAATG